CAGAGGAGGGCACAGAGGAGGGAACGCAGGGGGAACAGAGGATGGCACAGAGGAGGGAACTCAGGAGGGCACAGAGAGGGGTACTCAGGGGGGAACAGGAGGGCACAGAGGATAGCACAGGGTACAGAGGAAGGCAGAGGAGGAAACAGAGGAGGGTACACAGGAGGGCACAGAGGATGGCACAGGAGGACACAGAGGATGTCACAGAAAAGGGCACAGAGGATGGCACAGGGGAGGGAACAGAGGATGGCACCAGGAGGGCACAGAGAAAGGCACACAGGAGGGCACAGGAAGGCACAGGAATGCACTCAGGGGGGAACAGGAGGGCACAGGAATGCACTCAGGAGGGCACGGGAATGCACTCAGGAGGGCACAGGAGGGAACAGAGGATGGCACCAGGAGGGCACAGAGGAAGGCACACAGGAGGGCACAGGAATGCACTCAGGAGGGCACCGTGGGGTTTTGGGGCTGGGGTGGGGCTCAGCAGAGCCCCCCTGGAGCTGCTGGCCCCTGAGGCTGCCCCAACCCCGGCAGTGAAGCAGCTGATCCGAAACCTGCTGAAGACAGACCCGACCCAGCGCATGACCATAACGGAGTTCATGAACCACCCCTGGATCATGGTGAGCTGGGCTGGCATCGGGGCATCGGGGATTGGGGGATCGGGGATCAGGGGATCGGAGATCAGGGGATTGGGGGATCAGGGATCAGAGGATGGGATCAGGGATCAGGGGCTGGGATCAGAGGATCAGGGCATCAGAGGATCAGGGGATCAGAGGATCAGGGCATCAGGGGATCAGGGGCTGGGATCAGGGCATCAGGGGATCAGGGATCGGGGGATGTGATGGGATAATGATATAATGGGATAGAATAATGGGGTATGATAATGGGATCATGGGATGGGATGGGGTGGGATCCATGGCATGGGATAGGATAATGGGATGACATGGGATGGGATTGATGGGATGGGATCCATGGCATAGGATGGGATGGGATGGATTCATGGGATGGGATGGGATCCATGGGATGGGATCAGATGGGATAGAATCCATGGGATGGGATGGGATGGGATGAGATAGGATGGGGTCCATGGGATGGGATGGGATGGAATACATGGGATGTATGCGATGGGATGTATGGGATGGGATCCATAGCATGGGATGGGATAGGATGAGATGGGGTCTATGAGATGGGATGGGATGTCATCCATGGAATGGGTGGCATGGGATGGCATGGGATGGCGTGGATGCCTGTGGCTCCCAGCTCACGCTCCTCCCCCCTCCTGGCAGCAATCCATGCAGGTGCCCCAGACCCCGCTGCACACCAGCCGTGTGCTGAAGGAGGAGAAGGACCTGTGGGAGGATGTGAAGGTAAAACCTCTCTCTGTCCCTGCCTGCAAAGCTCTGTCCCCTCTGTCACCTGGGGAGTGTCCTCTGCTGTGGTACTGCAGACCAGGCTCGTTCACTGTCCCTGGGAGTGTTCAAAACCTGCATAGGTGTGGCACTTGGGGACATGGTGGGGTGTGGGGTGGCTGTGTTGGGTTAACCATGGAATCACAGAATGGTTTGGCTTGGAAGGGACCTCAAATGCCAGGGCAGGGACACCTGCCAGTGTCCCAAGCTGCTCCAGCACTGCCGGGGATGGGGCAGCCACAGCTGCTCTGGGAACCCCATCCCAGGGCACAGCGTGGTTGGCCTCAATCACCTTGGGGAGAGCTTTTCCAGCTTGAACAATTCCGTAATTCCAGTTCAGTGGTGGGCGTGCTGGGGCTTGGGAGCGAGCTGGCAGGTTTGGCAGTGGCACACTCAGGCCCTGCTGCAGTTCATTCCCAGCTGCTCTGGGGACCCTGGGGGGACTTGGCTGATGGCTCTGTGCCCCCTGCCCGCAGGAGGAGATGACCAGCGCCCTGGCCACCATGCGAGTGGACTATGAACAAATCAAGATCAAGAAAATCGAGGATTCCTCCAACCCTCTGCTGATGAAGAGGAGGAAGAAAGCCAACGCCCCCGAGCCCGCCGCGCTGCCCCACTGAGGGCCCCGCCCGCCGGCCCCCCAGAAAGCAATAACTATATATATATACATATATATATATATTTTTTAAGGAAAAAAAAAAGACAAAAAGAAACAGACTGTTCTATCGAGCGCATGGAAATTCAGACATTTATACCAGACTAGTTATTTTTAGCTACTCACCTGTGTTTCTGGCCTTTCTGGAGCAGGTGCTGAGATCCCCTCTCAGATCCACACCTGCAGCCAGGGATTTTTTTGTCCTCTAGGCGAACGCCGCCAATAATTGGATTTTTATTTTTCTTTTGTGAAACGGTTTTGATTTATATATATATATATTTTTTTTTTCCCTTTTCCTCCTCCTTCCTTCCAAAGACATGGAATCTCCTGTGGTGACCTTTTTAGGGTATATAACATATAAATATTTTTTAAAAACTACTGTAGAGCTGAAACCCAGACAGCATGTTCCCTGTGTGGATGCTGGGCTCCAGGGAAGGAGAGCTGCCCTCCCCCCTGTCCTGCTGCCCTGGGGTGGGGGGTCCCTGTGGCCACCAAATCGAGCCCAGGAGGCAAAAAGCAGCACCCAGCCCTCGCTGGGGGCCTGCCTGGCAGTGCTGTCTGTCTGTCCGTGTGGGGTGTGTGTCTGTCCGTGGGCCTGCAGCTGCTCTGCTCTCCCTGCGTGGCCTGGAGCACAGCTCTGAGCTCAGGGGGGCTGGGGCTGGCCTGTCCCCCCACTCTGCAGGGATGTGTCCCCCAGTCTGCGGGGATGTGTCCCCCACTCTGCGGGGATGTGTCCCCCACTCTGCAGGGATGTCCCTGGGACAGGGGGTGGCACAGCTTGAGCCAGGATGGCAGCACTGACCCTCCCTGGCCGGGGCTGGGGGTGCTGCCGTCCCCCCAGTGTGGCTCCTGCAGCTGCTCTGAAGTCTTTAGTCCATGGATTGTTATAATAATTATTATTATTATTATTATTTGTCACGATGTTTCACTTCGTTAAATGTGTTTGAATGGGGAAAAACAATTTTTTAAAGCGATGTTTAGTTTTTAGGTGATCTTTTTAGACACTGTATGGAATTTTAATTTGTTTTGAAAACTGGTTTTTATCCTCCCCCCTTTTTTTTTTTTTTTAATTTTTTTAATTATTTTTGTCTGTTGGCTTATACTAATCTTCCTAGTCTCCTCTTCAGTCCTTTGGATTAAAGACACTTAAAGAGTCACCCAGTCTCTCCTGTTGCTTGTGTGGCTGTGAAGAACCCCCCCAGTGCTCCAGCTGCTCTCCCCGTGTCCTAGAATTGCTCTTTTTTCCAGCAGAAAGGCTGAGCTCCCCTGGAGGTTCCTGGGGACACAACATCCCTTGGTTTGGGGACAGCTGCTCGAGCTCTGGGGCCTGCACAGGGACTTCCCTTCCCAGCACGGGTGACGCCCGGGCCTGGGGCTGTGGGTGATGTGGATGATGGTGTGGGGTGCTGTGGGTGCTCCAGATGATGTGGGGTGCTGTGGGGTGCTGTGGGCTGATGTGGATGGTGCTGTGGGATGATGCTGTGGATGATTGGATGCTCTGGATGATGCTGTGGATGCTGTGAGGTGTTGTAGGATGTTGTGGGATGCTGTGGATGATGCTGTGGGGTGCTGTGGATGCTGTGGATGGTGCTGTGGGTGATGCTGTGGCACACAGGACTGCCACTGCCATGCCCAGGTGCCCTCTCCTCTCCTCTCCTCTCCTCTCCTTCCCAAGCTGGCCCTGAACCTTCCCTGGGTGGCCCTGAAGCTTCTCAGTGTGGCCCTGAAGCTCCCCAGGGTGACCCTGAACCTTCCCAAGATGGCTCTGAACCTTCCCAGGGTGACCCTGAACCTTCCCAAGATGGTTCTGAACCTTCCCAGGGTGACCCTGAACCTTCCCAAGGTGGTTCTGAACCTTCCCAGGGTGGCCCTGAACCTTCCCAAGGGTGGCCCTGAACCTTCCCAAGGTGGTCCTGAACCTTCCCAAGGTGGTTCTGAACCTTCCCAAGGTGGTCCTGAACCTTCCCAAGGTGGCTCTGAACCTTCCCAAGGTGGTCCTGAACCTTCCCAAGGTGGCTCTGAACCTTCCCAAGGTGGCCCTGAACCTTCCCAAGGTGGCCCTGAAGCTCCCCAGGCTTTCCTGAACATCCCAACCCCTGGAGAAGAAGGCTGTCCATGGTGTCACCCCCTCCACTGTCCCTCCCCAGCAGGATTGTCCCTCTGGAGGGGTTTTGGCCCCCAGGCTCTGTCTCTGTCGCTGCTTTCAGTGCCTGGGTGGGTGAAACCCGGGGCTGTTTTCTGTGAAGCTGCTGGGACTAAAAGGAACCGCTGGGGCAGCGTGGGTGGGGGTGAGAACGGGCTCACTCCCACGGTGTTTTGGTGCTTTTCGATTTGAAACCCAAATTTTGGGGCAGATCTGCTGTAAATAAATTGGCTGGAGAGCAGCGGAGAGGGCAGAGGAGAGGTGCTGGAATTCTGGGGGCTCTGTGGGATCAGGTAAGGATGGGAGAAGCAGCAGGAAGGAATCCAGTTTTGTGCTGGGGAAGCTGAGATGGATTCCCACATCTCAGCTGGGAGGAGATGAGATTCAAGGTCCCTTCCAGAATCATTCTGGGGTTCCATCACCTCTGGGAAAAACAACCCAGGATGTAAAACCTTGGATTGAGGTGCTGGGACCTGTGGGAGGTGGTGGCCACAATTATTTGCAGGAGGCAGCTGCTGTGGGAGCAGAGCATGGAAACCTGGGGGGACCCGTGACCTGCTGACTCCAAAGGAATTTGTGAAAGATTCAGTGCAACATTTGAAATTTTTAGTAGCTAGTAGAAAAATAACCCCTCTCTCCTCACCCCACCTGCTTTATTTTTAGCAGCAAGCTTCCTGTTAAGGAAAAAAAAAATAAATTTAAAAAATATTTTTCTTGCTTTTGAAATGATTTTGATCAAAAATCTGGCTGGGCTCCAGGTCGATCACTGGGGAGGGATGAATCACGAAGATCTCTGCTCTTATCTGTCAACTCAAGAAGTGTCTGCTGCTCTTGCAAGGATGGGGGTGAAGCCCCTTCCTCCAGCCGTGGTTTGCTGTGCTCCCATGGTCTTGGTCAACTCTGGACAGCCCCAGGAGGACAAAATGTCCTGAGGCTCGTGTGGATGTGCAGGAGGAAGGAGCGTTGTGCAAGGGCTCCCAGGAGCCCTCAGCTGGTTGCTGTTTCACTGCTGCCCTTTGTTTGGTGATGATGGGAATTATTTACTGGTTTTTGCCCTAATTTTCCACTGAGAGTGGTTGTTTCTCCACGCCTGGGCTCTCAGGACTTGCAGAACTGCTCTGCAGCCTCCTCCTGTTGGCCAAGGAGGCTTTGGCTTGTTGCCTTTCTGCCCTGGGTTGGTTTGGACCCTGTAAATGCCTCTTGTAAGCTGGACAACTCAAAAAGGCAAAAATTCGGTGAAAAAAAAAAAAATTCTGCAGCCACCTGCCTCCTCCTGTTGGCCAAGGAGGCTTTGGCTTGGTTGCCTTTCTGCATTGGGTTGGTTTGGACCCTAGGAATGCCCTGGACAACTCAAAAAGGCAGAAAATTCTGTGCAAAATCATCTGATGGTTGTATTTTTCTGAGGATCAGACCAGGCACATCAGGGGAATGTCAGGATTTCCTGGTGCGAGGCTTGGCCTGCACACGGCTAAATTGCTTAATGCTCAGAAAATGTTGGATTTCTGAAAGATCCACTGGCATCAGCTCGCTCAGCCCTGGGGCTGCAGGGATCCTGCTGAGGGCTGGCTGGAAAAGGACAGGTGGTGATGGAAATCTGGCTGTGAGAGCAGAAGAAGATGTGATTTTTGCTCAGTGTGAGGTTCTCTTCCGAAATTGCACCATCAGAGTGTAACAGGCCCACACGAATCCTGCTCTGGGCTTTTGCAGTGCCTTTTCCAACCAGGAAAGGCAAAGAAAGCTGCTCTGAAAATCAGCCCCAGCAGGTTGTGGAGAGGCTGTGTGAGATGTGCCAGTCACAGCAGCTGGGCTCAGCATTGCAAAAGAGTCAGGAAACCAAATTTCAGCTGAGAAAAAAGTAAATTCGGTGCTGCTGCCAGGAAAGGAACTTTGTAGTCCAGCTCGGGAGCAAAGGAGATGGTTTGGTTGCTTCAGGGTGTGATGAAATGGTGGAGAGACCCTGTCAAGAGGCCAAAGGCAGCAGGTCACAAGGCAGAAAATGAGAACTGCTGGTGTTAAACCTCTGAGTTTCCACCTCTGAGCAGCTGAGGTGTTCTCCCTGCACCGTGGCTGGAACCTCCAGCTCCTTTTCCATTGGAAAGCCCCGAGAAGTCTCTGACTGAAGCACCTGAAGGTCTGGCAGGGATGGGGAGCAGTTCCACTCCCTTCCTCGCTCTGCACCACCACCCAACAGCGCCAGGAGTGCCAATGTCCCACATCAATGTTAATTAATGCCACATTAATTAATGAGCGTGCTGCTGGCTGGGATGGCACTCGGGAATGGCACAGGGTGCCAGCTCTGTGCCCTCACCTTGTCACTGCTGCTGCTGCCTGGGCTCTGGGCACCTAAAGGGGGCTTTTAATCGAGGTGGGGATGAACAGAATCCCAGAATCCCAGAATCCCAGAATCCCAGAATCCCAGAATCCCAGAATAATGAGGTTGGAAGAGACCTCTAAGATCATCAAGTCCAACCCATGCCCCAACACCACAACCAGACCATAGCACCAAGTGCCAAGTCCAGTCTTTTTTTAAACACATCCAGAGATGGTGATTCCACCGCCTCCCTGGGAAGACAATTCCAGTATTTTATTATTCTTTCAGTGAATTTTTTTTCCCTAATATCCAACCTCAGAACACCTCAGATGAGCTTGTTGTGACATGGCAGGGGAGAATGGTTTTTAATTAAAATAGGGTAGATTTAGATTAGATATAAGGGAGAAAATTTTAAAAGGAAGGTGGTAAAGCACTGAAATAGGCTGCTGGGAGAGGTGGTGGCTGCCCTATCCCTGGAGACATTCAAGGCCAGGTTGGATGTGTCCTGGAACAGTCTGGGGTAGTGGAAGGTGTCCCAACCCATGGCATGAGGTGGGAACAATGTGATCAATAAAATCCCTTCCAACCCGATCCACTCTGTGATCAGGAGCTTCCCTGGGGTTCAGTGCTGGATCTGAGACCTCTGCAGAGCCCCAGAGGACACAGGAATTCAGCACAGAGGGACAGTGAGCAGTGCCAGCTGCTGTGGAGCTTCTCTCCCAGCCTGCCTGGATTGGATTGGATTGGATTGGATTGGATTGGATTGGATTGGATTGGATTGGATTGGATAGGATTGGATTGGATTGGATTGGATTGGATAGGATTGGATTGGGTTGGGTTGGATTGGATTGGATTGGATTGGATTGGATAGGATTGGATTGGATTGGATTGGATTGGATTGGATTGGATTGGATTGGATTGGATTGGATTGGTTTGGGTTGGATTGGATTGGGTTGGATTGGATTGGATTGGATTGGATTGGATTGGA